AACAATTAAAGATGATTTCCTCAATAGAAGGAAGACCCACAGCTTTATGGAATTTGACAATCCATTAAGATGTGGAACCACTGATAGTCATCAACAAATATCAGCAGTATGGCATGGTCTCAACCCTTATTAATTTATAATATATTAGCCGTCCCCTGCTATGTGTTGCTGTAGCCCAGTCTGTGTATAAGTGTTTTGTGTGTGTATATGTGTGTATATATATTTGTGTATATGTGTATATATGTGTGTTTGCGTGTGTGTGTGTGTGTGGTTTTGCGCATGTATTGTAATGTAATTTTTGTTTTTGGCTTTTAAAGTCTCTTCTGCTGTGTTTTTCAGTGCTTTTATAAGTGATGGCCACTTGTTGGCCTAATAGGTGTATTGTGTCCAAATTTGGTGTCAATCCGTCCATTGGTTTTTGAGTTATGTTAATCCCACAAACGAACATTACATTTTTATTTATATAGATTCCACAACAAGCTGTTCTCTGGAAAGTCCAGGGTATATTTATTTTTACAGAAGTACTACTGATCCTTAGATTCCCTTGGAAATTTATAGACAGGAATACTTTCACTAGAAGTGTAAGATTATAGCTAGATAGTACTATCTATCTGTAGCAATTATTCTTCCATACATTGTCAAGGAACTCATCCACTTTAACCATGGAAACCTTCCATAAACAACATCATACCATCTGCATTCCAGTAATACTTCACTAATAAAATGCGCTTGTCAACTGGAAGCTTGGATTAGGGAATACTTTTCAACAGCAGGTGCATGCTATTAGGAAGCATACAGGCAAGGAACAGCATTTCCAAAGAAGCTGGGAAAACAGAATTTGTAAAAGACCACATGGTTTATGCAACAAAATCCATCAAAGAAAACAAAAAGACAGAAAAAGAAAAGGTAAACCAACATAGAGAAGAAAGTTTACTATTTATTATGACCTGACTTTACCTTCTGCAATTCTGACCAAGTTGAGATATACAATCTGTGCTCAAGGAATAAATAAAATAATCCCTGAGTGTCACTAGATCTTAACAGTGATACCTGAGAGTCCATCTGGCACACTGAAGTTATGGATTCAGAAATACTCATAAAGCTCTCCAAGATTTCAACTGACAGTTGAATTCAGCACAATTACCAACATGCGGCCAAGTATTCTGATTTTATACAGGGCTCTGATGGTGTTTACAGTTGACATGTCAACACTAACACCATAGGATGCCAGCATATGGCTCTGTAAAACAGGAGAAGGAGTTTTTGCTATTGCATTCAAAGTTTTAAATAGTAAAAATCTAGGCTACAAGTTCTGCAAAGCATCCAGTGGGTGGTGCCAAATAACTGGAAAGCTACATTTTTGTCTCTTTAAAACGAGTCAGAAGCAAACCTGGTGCTCTGTCTTCTCTCTGGTGACACTTGATAGTCAATTAATCCCCCCTACTATCCCATCTCTCTACCTGATTGGCAGTCATTTGCTCATATTTTTTATTTGCTTGATAAGTGTGGAAGAATGGGATTAGTACCTCTGTGGGGAGCAACTAAGATTACTGAGGATATATGATACAGTACTTTCTCATTTTTCACAGTATGGGTTGTTGTAGGTTTTTTCGAGCTTTATGGCCATGGTCTAGAGGCATTCTTTCCTGACGTTTCGCCTGCATCTATGGCAAGCATCCTCAGAGGTAGTGAGGTCTGTTGGAACTAGGAAAAAGGGTTTAAATATCTGTGGAATAACCAGGGTGAGACAAAGGACTCTTGTCTGCTGGAGCTAGATGTGAATGTTTCAACTGACCACCTTGATTGGCATATAATGGCTTGACAGTGCTTAGAACAAAAGTTTGTTGAGAGGTGGTTAGATGTCCTTGTTTCACCTCCCAATCACCTCCAGACTACTTCAACCAGAGAAATCAGCCATAGCAGAGCACCTGATGAACTAGCCTGGGCACAGCATTTTATTTGAGAACACAGAAATGCTGGGCCACTCTCACAACCACCATGTCAGACTACACAGAGAAGCCATTGAAATACACAGCATATGGACAATTTCAACAGAAAGGAGGAAACCATGAAAATGAACAAAATCTGGCTACCAGTATTAAAAAAACTCTAAAATTACAACAGCACAACAACAGAGAGGAAAAAAAACAAGGACATCTAATCACCTCTCAACAAAAGTTTGTTCTAGGCACTGTCAGGCCATTATATGCTAACCAAGGTGGTCAGTTGAAACATTCACACCTAGCTCCAGCAGACAAGAATCCTTTGTCTCACCCTGGTCATTCCACAGATATATAAACCCCTTTTTCCTAGTTCCAACAGACTTCACTACCTCTGAGGATGCTTGCCATAGATGCAGGCGAAACGTCAGGAGAGAATGCCTCTAGACCATGGCCATATAGCCCCAAAAACCCTACAGCAACCGATTAATTTACTTATTTGTGTCCCACTTTTCTTATACAATTTACTACAATTCTGGGAGAGAACGCATTTTATTTTTGTTTTATCTAGAAATAAGAAAGTATATTGAGCATTTTTCTTTGGGGGTTTGGAACAAATATAAATTCATGAACAGAGTATAGAGAGAACAAAGGAAAAATGCCTCCCCTTCTGTCTTGTTTACAACCCCCAAAAGCTGATAAGCCATTAAGATCATCAACCAAATAAGTATGACTAATGTGGTATTGAGGCAATATTGCGACAACTGAAGTTTTTTTTAGTAGAGAATAGCTCAGTCAAAAGTTACTTGGTAAAAGAAGGTTAGTGAGGCATTCATACTATAAAAAATGCCAGATACAGAACGTGAATATCAGGTTAAAAAAACCAATAATACTGAAACACATGTCAAGACAAAGCTGATTATGAAGAATATGTTTTGAGAGGGGAAATATTCAAAATATGGTTAAATATGCATTCAAAAATACATGTCCATTGAGAGTTTTTTAAAAAAACATTGTATTTTAATGTTGAAATGGGATATAGTGAACTTGTAAAGGAACATCTGCCAAAGTGATATCAATTCTCTTCCCAGTCTGTTCATGAGGACCTAGATGCAGCTGGCAAGATACAGTTGGAAACAAGTGAGAAGCATGACTATTTCTTACATTCTTCAAATGTTACTGTTGTTGGATACATTTTACGTGCTTTTCATTCTTGTGTACTTGTTTCGCAAGACTTTGGATTCTTGGGTATTTCTTTTGCCATTTCAGAAGCTCCATTATCAGATGTACAGCACAGGATTTTGATTGTATGTATTGTGGCTACTGGCTAGCATTATTATATTTTTTACAGTGAAGACACTTCTATACATTTATATTATATTGTGATTAGGAAAGGATAATTCTTTGCTGGTGACAAGGTCTGTCTGTCTGTCTGACAGTCTGTCTGTCTGTCTGTCTGTCTCTGTAGATCAGTTTTGGCTCCCTAAGTACATTTTGCTTTTTTATATGGCGCCTTGAGCACAGGTGTGATAATTTTATAAAGGTCAAGTCAGTCCTATCTCCTGGCCAGTGGCCGGCTACTGACTTAATGTTTTCCAGAGTAGGATTAGATCACATTGTAGGTTGTGTAATGCTTGCCCTTTGCAGAAAAGGACAACAAGGAAGACCAAGTAAGCATTACAGTAGTGGAGGTGGTTTGGTTTAGATGAGTTTAGGCAATGCTGACATTAAACAATGGGTGGGTTCCTTTCATAGTCTTTACAGATTATGCATTTCTGCAGATCTCCAGCATTCTTTGAGCAATGCATGATAGCATTTGGAAAATTACAAGTAATTACAAGTGGTAAAGACATGATGCATCATATTGCTTTGAGAGGATGGGCCAGGAGGATGGAGACTTCTACGACCTCATCAGATGAGTCTACGGCAGCATTGTAGGATGCTTTCACCCCATTTGACCCACAGAGCTCCACACCACCCATCGGACAATCCAGGCTCACTTCATGGGACTCCATGGCTCAACTAGGACACAAGTGTTTCACAACACTGCACCCAGAACATGGGAGGCTTCGCGTATTCTGTTTAAAACAATGTGGCCAGAACAAGGGGAAGCCATGTGGTAACGCTTCCCCACATGTGATGGGGAAGCATCGCTGTGGTTGAGGCAGGGTATGGGGCACCAGGATTGCTCCGCTGCCCTGCTGATTTGCCATGGAGACATGAGGTCCTTATTTTTCCTCTCCACAAGACCCATAGTTCTAAGCTTTGGAAAAGCCAATTAGACACTTTTACTATAACCCTACTTATTATGGGGTCTTGAGAATCCACTGGGTCAGCCTTTTGACTTATCAACTCATACAACAGTTGAATAGGTAACAGAACATGTCTGTTCAGACATGGTCGAGCAGCACTGCGACACTGATAGCAATGGCTTTTCCCTGTATCACTGAAAGGAGGAATAAAACACAGACATTCAAAGATGCCTGGGGCAATGTTTACAACAAAGAGAGGGTTGCCTCATCCCACTGCTACAAAATGAAGTTGCTCAAACCCCAGATGACTGTTTCTCTGCTGGTTTTATATAAGAATGTAAGCTTAAAAGAAGACTTATAAGCAGCCAATACAAAATCCTGTGTACCTTGTACATTCTATAGTTTTATTATTTGATATCTTTGTCTATCTATCAATCTTTTTCTAATATCCTGACTTTCTCTCAAAGTGGGACCAAGCAGCTTAGGACTTAAGTTAAAAACAAAATACAACTCATACTGAATAACCAAATATACTCTGGGATGGGGAAAGTGTAGACCTGGAGAGTACCCTCCCTGGAAGGTTCAAGGAGTGGCCACTTACAATACCTATTAGTAGGTTGCAGTCTCCACTGCAAATATTCATTTATCAAAACAGAAGAGGACTTCTGACCACTTCTGGGTTTTCATTTTTTGGCATTCTCTGTGTCCCGTTGGTGTTTTCCCAAGAATAACAGCAGCCCATTGCATGCAAGCACAAACACCATAGACATATTATTTTGTGAACACTCTGGCAGACTTGCTTACTTACCTCTTAGGCACTTGAGGGCAAAGGTTGGTTGCTGTAACAACAAGAACTGTGTAACAAGAAAGCAAAAAGGAACTCTTAAACAGGTTTCACAGGACAAGCTAATATTTTCCTTGATAAGCTTTCGCGAACATGTCTACTCTTTCCAATTCAGGGTCTCAAGTGTTGGTACTAAGCAGTGAATGTATTAAAGAAACTCTACAGCATCAAATGCCTTCCTCTATACACTTCTGGTTGGTTTCAGACAAGAAAGTTGTGTGGACGAGTGTCCTATTTTATTGTTTTATTTTTATTTTTTCACATGATCAGCATATTTAGCCCACAGAAATATTACACCATTTTTGAAAGGTATGAGGTCCAATTGTTATATAACATAACTTTAAATCCCAATTTTACATGTAAATCTATACAAAATATGGTTAAACATCATGTGGTTAGGAATTAAATATTATCAACCAAAGGTGTAAGCAGTTATGCTCCCCTTTTTTTTATCTCCCTGACATCTGTGGCAAATGGCTATTTGGTCCATGCTACTCTTCTTATGTATGGTAAATAATAAGGGAATTTTACTGGAATCAATATGAGAGGTCCACTTATACCTGAACAGTTAATGGTTTTCCTGCCACAGATCACTCACTGTATCGGCATACTTGGTTTGAACAAAACACTTAGCATATCGCATAACTAGTTTATCAGTCCATGAGGCCACATTTGATATAAACTTGAACAGGTATTCTGTAACAAGAAGTGGGAGCCTGCTTGTGTAGCAGTGGTGAAATCAATATATACACATCCAGAAGACATTTTTAGATGTGAATTTGCTGCTGAAGCGACTTTCCAACAGCAGGCATGTGGTGCTGAGAAATAGTTTATGTTTCATAACCTTAGATTTACAAGCAACACAGCACTGAGACCTATAAAAAGATATTAAACAGTTATGCAACAGTTATGAATTATCTTTGCAGCTTGATGGTATTCAGTAATATTTTGGGGGAGGGGGCGACAAACCAGTTTATGAAACAGCAAAATTAATTTTTGCTTCTGTTGGTTGCTTATAATTGAGTTCTATTTTTGGGTTATAGACATTATGTAACATATGTATTGTTATTTCAGTTAATGATGTACAGATGCAAACATTAAACTTTACTGTTGACTAATATTATTTTTGCATTTGTTTTTTGAGGAACAAGTTTGTGGACCACAGAAAATGGCAGAACTAATTGTCCCCATTGGGTTGAACATAGTTCAATCTTAATGCCATCTCTCACTACCTTCCAATTCTAGATGTTTTGGCCTCAAATGTCTTCCCATTCCAGTTATCTAAATGTTGATCAGAACATTGGTTCTTTATATCATTAAACTGGCAAATGTACTCAGGATATTTTAGAAATATAAAAACATAGAACTATCAGTGAACTCACTACCAAATTTCCCACATGAGCCTCCCTAAGTTGTATGATTCAAGGGGAAAGCTTTCTCTTAGTGTGTATCTACACTATAGAGTTAATGCAGTTTGACAGCACTTCAACTGCCATGGCTCAATGCTAATGAATCATTGGCAGCTGTCTTTGCCAAATAGTGCTAGTGCCTCACCAAAATACAACTCCCATGATTCCATAGCATTAAGCCATGGAAACTGAAGTTATTACATTAATCCTGCAGTGTAGACATGTCCTCAGTTGCAGAATCTCCCAGGCTTAACCGGTGATCACATAGAAAAGAACCTTCTTGGTTGCTGCTCCTAGTTACTGAAATTTCCTTCCATGGAGCATTCAATCAGGGCCCTTCCAAATGGCGGCTTAATCTAGAATAAGGAAGTGGGACTTAAAATCCCACTACCTTAAGGAGAGTCCCCATATGGAGCTATTAGTCCTGGGAAATGGTCTCACCATAACCAGAAAGGTTTGATTAATGTGGGTTGAAGGGAACTGCAAAAGGTACAGAATATCTGCAAGAGGGTTTATTTTAACCCCCCCCCCCCTGTAATGACTCTCCTAGATGCACTGCACCTCATAAGCATGTTGCCAGTGCTTATGAGCATGCATGTGTGTTCAGGAACCTTTTTGCTGATCTGGCAGGTCTGTCAGAGCAATCACACTGCCTCATACAGACTTCAGTCAGCAGCTCTTATAGGTTCTCCCTTTTCTCTCTCTCTCAGTGATAAACAACAAGGAAAAGTGTTTGGGATCCATGCTTAAGAATTGAATTTGACTTGATTTATATTCCATATTTTTCTCAACAGGCACAATAGACAAGGAAAATAGGATAGCAGTGGAAAAAGGGGTTCAGTGCAGCAGATGTTGGCTGCTCTTCTCTCCATTTGAGGCCACACCATTGACAGCTGGAATTGTGGGATAGCCTTACAATATAAGTGAAAAGAAAAGCACGCAAAGCAGTTTATAACACTTTCTTTTAGAAGTAACAACCCTATTAAAATGTGAATGTGCTGATGGGGTTTTATAAGAAAGGGCACACAAGCCAATTTTCTGTCATTGTCTCTCCTAGCTCTCCTAGTGCCTTTAGGTTTGCAAAGGTGAATGCACCTACAGCATAGCATGATGATAGTCCCACTCAGGTAGGAAATCATACAGTTCACTTCTTCAAAGATTCTGTAACACCATTCCTGATATATATTTTTTGAAAGTGCACTAATCTGCAATCTCTGAAAAGTAGAACTATATGAATGGCGGAGGGAGGGGAGGGTGACAGACGGACGGATAGTTGGACAGTATTTGAATCCATCCTGTATTTCCTCTCTCACTCTGCCCATCCCATGGACATGTGTGGGGGTTATAATTCATTTCCTGCTTTTTTTCCCAGTTCCCCCTTGGAGCTTCCTGCCAATCTGTTTCCTCAACCTAGCACAGGCTTTTCATCTCTTATCTGCCAGGCTATTATCTTGTCCCCTTTTAAAAACCAATCAATAAAAACCCTTTGACGTCAACATATTCTTCAAAGCTTTTCCTGGACCAAACATTTCTCTGCCAGCTAGTTCCCCCAACCTTTAGCAAATCATGTCCTCTCCCTGGAGTTAAATTCTTTTATTTATAAAATTCCTTTTATGGCAAATTTGGTTGTCTCTTCACATCTCAAAAGCTGGTAATCCTATGTGGAAGCATCATGCATGATGTCCATGGAGAAGCTAATGGGCATGGCCTCATTCAGTTCTTCTGAAAGGGGTCCCTGAAACACAGCGAACTTACCTAACCCCTCCTCCTGCTTCAAGGCCAGATTAGGACATCATGCTGAGATGCAGTGTAGTGGTTTGGCTGTTGGACTACAAACTAGGGACCTCATCATATGCAGTCTTCTCCCCATTTCTCTACACTGCTAAAACGGAATCCCACAGAGAGCAATTTTCGGTGGGACTCTGTGGGGCTCAGTTTTGGCAACATGGAGAAATTGAGCCCAGAGTGCCTTTGGAGGAGTCAGGTGTTACCTGACTCCTAATGGCACAAAGTGGAGAAATTCAGAGGAAAGATGAACCTTAAGGGGGAACGGACATGGGATGGCAGCAGACAGACCTGGATGGGAGGGAACAGAGTAAGACAGTTCCCTCTGCTTCTCTCCCACCTTCCACCTTTCCATCTGTTGAGGTCCTAGGAGACCATGATCATCCCTAGAAACTCACAGAGGTTTCTTGTGTAAGTCATACTCCTTTGGACTTAGAGGAAGGCAGTGGGACATTTCTCCTGAATAAATCCTGCCAGGAAAACTTAAGGAATAGTCAAATTGAATGAACACATCATCATCAATAACAGACATTGCAGCCATGGTGAACTATAGTTTCCCCATCAAAACATATAATGTGCAAAGAAAAGAAATCAATACACAACAATGCAAAAGATTAAGAGAAATAGCATGCATGGCTGTGAATACATGCTTTAAATTACTATTGAAGCTTGATCTGAAATCTCTTTAAGTCAGGGGAAATATTGGATAAGTCTTTATTAGCAGAGGAAGTTACTGTTTTATAAGCAACTTATATAAACTATGTCTGTCAAGTACAGAGTGTTTCTTAAGCGAATAAAGCAAGTGAGACAGCATGTGTTATTACTTATCTACCGTTTGCATAAACATAACATTGCTGGTTTAGAATGTCTCCAGTAACTACCACTGTGTTTATATATGACATATATAAAAATAAAAAATACTATCTACCATTTTTGTCATGATACAATGCTACGAGATGTGGGACCTTGTAAAAAATGTCACTAGCATCTGTTCGAACGGATATTAAAAGAAGCACAGGTTCTACGTTATGAAAAACAGCCATGCTAAAGTAGCACAACAACAGTCATATAAATGAGTCATTTTGTTGCATTAGCCCTGAAAACCTGGTGGTTCCAGCTGGCCTCAGACTCTATCCTTGGCCCCAGGCTCTACCCTGGCCATTAGCTAGGACCCTACTTTGTACTTTATCCACTTTCCTGGCCCTAGGCTACTTCATTGCACTAGCCCTGGCTCAGCCATCTCATAGCTGTCTAGGCCTACTTTGAAATTCTGGCCATTGGCGGTACGAATAATACCACACACAATAATAATGTGTGTGGCGGTACGAATAATACCACACACAATAATAATGTGTGTGGTTGTGTTTATGTTTTATAATGGTTTATACTGTAGGATTTTGTTTTGGTAATTGAATGCTTTGCCCTATGCTGGAAACCGCCCTGAATCCACTCAGGGAGAACAGAATGCAAATAAAGTTTTTTTAAAATTTATATTTATTTATCCACACAAACTGGGTTCCCAGCAAAGCGGACAAGATATCATGAAATTGTTTTAAGTCCTGTATTTCAGTTGTTTTCAACTGATGGGTCATGGTTTACATTAATGAGGAGTGCAGCTCAGAATCTCACAGCCCAAACTCCAGCTATAACAGTGATGCTATATATATTTATCTTCCTTGGAAACTTTATCTAAAATGAAAGGACTACCTCTGAGAAGTAACGAAAACTTAATGTTCTAGAGATTATGACCTGATAATTAAATATGCAGATTGATGGCAATAATAAAGGAGGTTAGCTGTGGTTTGATCACATGGTACATATATATAGAGAGAGTCTCACTTATCCAACCTTCACTCATCCAAAATTCTATATTATCCAACACAGTCTGCCTCCCAAATTCACAGCTGTTTCAATACATTGCTATGTTTTGGTGCTAAATTCGTAAATACTGTAATTACTACATAATGTTGCCATGCATTGAACGGATTTTTCTGACAATTTGTTGTAAAACATGATGTTTTGGTGTTTAATTTGTAAAATCATAATGTATTTTGATGTTTAATAGACATTTCCTTAATCCCACCTTATTATCCAACATTTTCGCTTATCCAACATTTTGCCGGCCCGTTTATGTTGGATAAGTGAGACTCTACTGTGTATGTTCTACTACACCGAAGTCTCTCAATATGAATGCTCTGTAATGATAAAACTGGGGAATGTCTGTATGGCCCCATGACTTCTTCCCAGTGCCAGACAGTTCCCTCTCCATTCTCACTCAGCTCTAAGGAAAGCCAGAGCCTTCTTTGAGGGCTTTCCTATTGCTGCACAAACCCAAAATATATTAGAAGATAATATAGTATTTGAAAAGACTGAAGATAACTGCACTACAGTTATCTTCTAAAAATGTAGTAGATCCAATTGGTTTCTTTTTGTGTTGTCAAAAGCTTTCATGGCCGGAATCAATGGGGCTGTGAGTTTTCCAGGCTGTATGGCCATGGTCCAGAAGCATTCTCTCCTGACATTTCACCCACATCTATGGCAGGCATCCTCAGAGGTTGTGAGGTTTCCTGGAAACTAGGTAAGTGGGGTTTGTATATCTGTGGAATGTCCAGGGTGGTAGAAAGAAAGAACTCTTGTCTGTTGGAGGCAAGTGTGAACGTTGCAATTGGCCACCTTGATTTTTGTTTTTACTGCTGTTGAAAGTCCCATCACAAACTGCTGATGAAAGAAGGAAAGAACATCATCTCCAAGTAGGGCACCAGCAATCTCTAGAATTAATATGACTTGGGTGATGTGCTGTGTAATCCTACACAATATTCACATCTGAAAAGTCAGACACATATGAAATCAGAGGGACTTATGCCCATGTCTATTCATATGATACTGCAGTACAATTCAAGTGAAACTGTTTGTAAATGTTATGTCACAAATCATTTAGGTCATGCTCTATGAAATTCATGGGGATGCCACAAGTCAATAGATGACTTGAAGGCACAAAAACAGTTTTTAATGTTGCTGGTCCCTTTCATTTTTTAAACATTAAAATTACCAGAGCAAAACTATTGATACTGGCAGTGAAGTTCACACAGAAGATTTACTCATTTTGACTCTTACTGACTCAGTAGCTACACAAACTATGATTAAGTTTCCTGTCACCGACAATGCTATTACTGAAGATTGTATACCATTGGACTCTACACATTCCTTAAACATCTTGTCTATTCATATATCTTCTCTTGTTTCACATCAGTGACTGACCATGCAGTCCTCAGTGTTTTCTCAGAAATAAGTTCAATGAGGTCAGTGGAGCTTCCTCTTGGTTAAATTGGGATTTCATTTTTACCTGTTGCTACTTCAAGCCCATAATAAATAACACAGAAAAGAGTCCAGTAGTATACAATCTTCATTATGAGATGCTCCCCTCGTTTTGATGGATGAATTATTTTATTTATATATTAAAATGTTACCTCACCAGCTTGACTCAGAAAATTTAAACAAAACATATAACTTATGAACAACCAAAGGAATTATTTTATAATCTATCTTGATGGTCTCTGTGCTTTTATGCTGAAGAGACTCAGCTATTACTCACTATGGCAAAAGAAATTCTGGCAACTCTCAGGCTGCTAAATATATCTTGTTAAATTTACGGATTTGTATTTTTTTCTGTATTTGGAATAACTCTGACAGCTTCTTAGGTCCAGCAACTTTGGATCTTACTCATCTGACAAACATATTTCAAATATTTCTTAATTTTAGAAGTATTTCTATTTTACTATATGTGGAATAAAACTGCACTTTTCACCCATTTTTAAAAAAAATAAGCATTGCCTTCATTTCCAGCAAACTGATTCCCTGCAGTTCCTGTCTGATTGGTTACCATTTAGGAAATGACTTTAAATGGCATTTGTGGTTTCATCTGATTTCCTCCAGATGTGTATAACTGCCAGCTGGGGCATTATGGGAGTTGTAGTCCAAAGCACCTGGGTAGTATCAGGATGGCTATTTAATATTCCACATCATTTCTAGGACCCAGTCACAGGTTTCTGTTTTCTAAAGTGTTGATAGACAAGACTGGCCCTTAAAGCTGAAACAAAATACGTGAACTTTGGAACAGAGGTACGTTTCTTTTTGTTGTTGTCCGCAATTGGCCTCCTCCCAAGCAGCCGCCTGGTTTTAGCCCTTTATGCTGAACAAAAAGGTGTATTGTTCAGCACTTTAATTACAATGTGATTAGCTCACATACCTTTCTTATTTTCTAACACTGTTAAAATAAGTGAGGGTTTGTGTAGCTCTTTCAATTATATTTCCTCATGTTTATTATTAAGGTTTCTAAAAGAAATGAAGTCTGCTCTCCCTCATTCTCATTTCTAGAACAAGACTTGAGACTATTTTACTTGGGCCACTTTCCAAACCTAATAGAAAATAATGTTTTCAGTCAAAATCTGGTGAGTCCAAGGGTGAAAATCATTATATGTTCAGTAAAATTGAGTATTGGAATGTTTGCAAAACATTTTTCCTTCCATGGAAAATTCACACAGGGACACTTATGCCCATCTTTCTCAGCTTGGTGCTTTCCAAAGGTACTGGATTAAAGCACCGTCATCACTTGCAGATTGCAACACTGGATACTCTTCAACTATTATGAATTGGCAAGGATAATCCCAATTAATTCTCGGCTGCCCCACTTTCTTAGCTTCCTTTAAAAAGTCCCAGCTTCCTTCTCCTCCCACTTCCCTTTTTGCCTTTAAAAGGTAAATGTTTCCCCTTGACATTAAGTCTAGTCATGTCCGACTCTGAGGGGTGATGCATCTCCACTTCTAAGCCGAAGAGCTGGTGTTGTCCATAGATGCTTCCAAGGTCATTTGGCCAGCATGACTGCATGGAGTGCCATTACCTTCCCACTGAAGCGGTACCTATTGATCTACTCACATTTGCATGTTTTCAAACTGCTAGGTTGGCAGAAGCTGGTGCTAACTGCAGTAGCTCACCTTGTTTCCCGGATTTGGACTGCCAACCTTTTCATCCGCAAGTTCAGCAGCTCAGCACTTTAATCCACTGTGCCACTGGGGGCTTCAATTGTTGCAAGCTGACTTCATATTGCACTCAGTTACCTTAGCAAATAAGAAGGAAGATAAGATAGGAGGGAGTAACATCCAGAGTTGACAATGGTAAAGATCAATCAATAATCTGATTCAATATAAGATAGCTTCCTATGTTGTTAACATCTGGAAGGTCATATCTTTCTCACTCTGGCCAAAGAAGTTAGATCTATTTTTTTTCTCATTTCACACTGGTAAGTGTAATTTTTAAATCCATCAGTGAAGGAGAAAGTGTTATTTCAGCTACTTGGAAGGTATGAAGAAAAAAGCTAGAAAAGAGGTGTTCCAGCCTCAGTATGGGAGTCATAGCTGCTTGGCCGCCCTGAGTCCCCTTTGTGGGGAGAAGGGCGGGGTAGAAATGAAATGAAATTAATTAATTAATTAATTGAGATCTTGCTACCTTGGAGCTTTTGAAGGACCAAGCACTGTCCTCTAGGGACCTTATCACTTTGCCTAGTGGATTCTCTATGTATTGTGACAAATCCATGGGGGGGGGGGGTGATCTGACATTTCACACTTCACATCACCTGACTTACCTGGGACCCCATCCCATGGGGGAAGTCTCTGCCGTCCAGCTTCCCTCCATTGTTCAGAAAGAAACACAGGAAGACTCACATGTTGCTGGCCTTGCAGCGTATGCCACTTGCTCTCCCATTTCAGTACGGAGCCCGACCGGAATGTACATGTGTGTTGTATTATGGGCTCTGTGCTGAAAGGGGAGAATGAGTGGCGTATGATGGGCAAAGCAGCCCATCTGATGAAATCGTAGATCAGGATCTGGCAAGTTGAGTGAAACAGTCATCAAGTATATGCAGTGCCAAATTTTAAAAAAATAGGCCTGTCTGGGAGTCTTCCCTTTTCTGACCTGGATATTCTTTCCCTTTGCATCAAATGTATGGCAATTGCTTGTGGTAACTCTGCGGTCAGAACAAGGCATCTGGAAACATGAAGTCACCTCATATGACTTTTTTCTCCTTTTATTATCTCATATTTTCCAATATGGATGCTGAAATTTAGCTGTAGAGTTTTAAATAGTTTCTATGTGACTATTCTCTAGAAATGGTCTGTGTAAAAGGGTTTTAATTCCCAGGGGGTAGCTTTGAAGATTTCTCCTGTACTTAAAACAGGCTGTACAAAATATTTCCAAGCTTTGGGAGATACAGCAATGTATGCAAGAGCCACACGTTTGTAGATATACACCAATATAGTATACATACTCCAAAATCTTAAAAATCCAAAACACTTATAACCTCAAGCATTTTGGATAAGGGATACTCAAACATTCTAGACAGTGCATTTCGCATTTTCTACTGGATGTCTGGAAAGGCTAGAACAATTGGCCTGAGGCCTTGGGCAGGAAATGAACTACAGAAAAACAATCCTTGCCTTTTTAAAAAGTATTTATGGAGTCTTCATAATTACAACAATGGCCGGATCTACACTGCCATATAATCCAAATAATCAAAGCAGATAATCCACATTATCTGGTTTGAACTGGATTATATGAGGCTGGATCTACACTGCCGTATATAATCCAGATTTATCTTCTTTGAAATGGATTATATGGCAGTGAAGACTCATATAATCCAATTCAAAGCAGATAATGTGGATTATCTGATTTGATAATCTGGATTTTATAACAGTGTAGATCCAGCCTGGGAAACATCTTCATCTGGCATTATAGTTATCAGAATCTTTTAAAAATAATTTATCATCAATGTAGAGTCGTGGTTTTCAAAGTGTGTTCCATGGAGCCCTTGGCACCGTGAAACATACTGAGGGGCTCAGTGGTTTCCTCCCTCTCCAAGCTTTCCCTCCTTTTTCCTGCCCCTGCCCGTCTCCTGCATCCCACCCCAAAGCCTTTCCCCCAACCTCCCTTGTCACCAAAAGCCTTTTTTCCTCACTTTCCTCACTGTCCAGAACTTTTTCCCTTCACCTTCCTTGTTTCCAAAACTCCAGGGTTTCTGCTATTGTTGTTACTATTATTATTACAAAGATTTGATAGCCATCTGTTAGGGAAGGGGGGTTGATTGTGCTTTTCCTGCATGGCAGAAGGGGATTGGATTAGATGACCCCTGAAGTCTTCTGCTGAAATACTGTTAAGTTTATGTTGGTTAAAATTGTTGTTTGTTTTAAATATTATATTTTCTTTGTTTCTTTTCTCTTGTTTGCACTTCAAATGAGATGCAATCTGTGCAGTATGCATAGAAATTGGTTCATGATTTTCTAAAATTAGTTCACACAAACACTCTCCACCCACCCGTCACTGGCCCAACCTGGCCAGTCTGTCAATTTTTAAAACACTGTGTGGCAAAAAGTTTGCCCATGCCTGATATACATGCATTAGCACTTAGCACTTAGATTATCAGTTCTTCAGCTTTCGCATAGATCATAACATCTTCTCTGTTCACCTCCATTCATATATATTTTGAGCACAAGTTGACCAGTGTACCATTGTATGACCATATACATATATACATTGTATATAATAGAACATATAAACATTTATTGGGGCTCCATGAGAAACTTTTGCTTCAAAAAGGACTCTGCAGCTGAAAAAGTTTGAGAACTCCTGATGTAGATTTGCATAGGGAACCCAGACCAAGCTCTGCGACCACCATCTTCAAAATAAAATATGATCCAGAGCATACAAGGGTAGAACAAGGGGTGCGATAAATACTATGAATATTTGCAGTCCTCACCTACTTCAAAAATTTCAGTTTCTTTGGCAAACTAAGAGAGGGAAAAGGCAAAAGCTAAAAGGAAAGCATTTCAGAGATACTGAGAGCTGGTGCTGCGAATGAAAAGTCCCTCCAGTGATGTTCAAAGGTAGACATTTTATCAGTCTCATCTCTCAGGCCCCGGCTGCCGTTTGGAAACAGCTCAATGCCCTCGGACACACTCTGCTATCAAGAGTATTACCCTGTAATAAATAGCTCCAGAAGGAATGTGGTAATTTTGATCTAACAATCAGTTTGTCAGCCTAGAGACTGGATTCTGAGCCTTAGCAAAGAGCTAAACAAAGTGTGATGACGGCAGCAACCATATTTGTTGTTCATGTTTCTGCCCAACTGATGTCTGAAGCAAGGCACGAAGGAGCTACTTTCTGCAACAATATTCCATTCAATGTTTCACTGATGAAAACTAAGATTTATGTGACCAAGAAACATCAGAGTTTACACATATCGTATTTAATAGGGTTGTGTGGGTTGTAGTGGGTAGAATGATTGTTTTAGATTGGGTTTGTTAGTTGTCTCAGGTTTGTGTTTTATATTAAGAAATAATGTAAATTGTGAAATTTGTTTTTCTTTATATGTCTTTGTTTGATTGTAGGTTTAATTCTTTGAATAAAAATAGTTATCAAAAAGAGTATACACATATCCTCAAGTTAATTTTATACATAATATTTGTCATAATTTTATATATGAAATAAAATCTGTGTGCACTGAAGAATCGCAAAGTAAAGGTGTCACTCTCTCAGCTACTTATGTGAACAATTTCAGATTTTGTATCATTGTAGATTCTGGGATTCCAGATAAGAATACCCAACCTATGCCATAAGAAAACACTGCAAACTGGCATATTCAGCTGACCTGGTATGGTTGATGGCTTGGTAGACCTGATATTAATGTAAGCCACAAACTCAGTCCATATCAGTGCTGAAGGATCAGATCACAGAGATACAAATAACTAACTTTAAGACTGTGTCATATTTGTTATTTGAGAACAGATTTGAAGGAATAACTTACAAGTATGCAATCAGTGATCAAATGTTTTTTGTGGGCCTCATCCCACAAAGGGGAGGAGGTTAGTGGAATTGTCTTATTTGGTCTGTGGTGTTCCATCTTTAAATAAGATGGAGAATTTACTCACCTGCAACACAGAGAATCATCTCCTCCCATATCTAGCTCAACATCATTTTCCCATCACACGGGCTGGCAATGTCTCCTCTCATTGCAAGTAGACCAGCTACTTCATCATACTAGAGAATGAATCCAATTTAAATCCGATTTCTGCCTCCTGCAGAATTCTGGGGTTTGTAGTTTAGTGAGGCTGTTAAAGGCTCCTCCCTAAACTATAAACCCCAGAATTCTGCAGAAGGTAGCAACCGGATTTAAAGTGGATTCATTCTTTAGTGTGATGAGAGCCCAGCACAATTTTAAAACACTCCTTTCGATTGATCTCCCCTCCTTTGCTTTGAATATCTACTCTTGAGTAGACCAATGCATTTTCAATGATCCTTTCCCTACTTTGAATCCCTCCTCTCGAATAAACCAGCACACCTTTAAACACCCCTTTCAATGGATCTTTCCTCCTTCTCTTTGAATCCCTCCTCATGAGGAGGCCAACATATTTTTAGAACACACCTTTCGATGGGACCTTCCCTCCTTCTCTTTGAATCTCTCCTCAAGAGGAGATCAGCACATTTTAAAAATACTTCTTTCAATGGGACCCACACTGTCTTTAAACCACTAATAACAACAGAAGGATCACGGAGGGGCACTTCATAAAACAGTGTAAACAGAGAAATCCACCACTTGCCATCCCAATGAAAAATACCTGTATTTAGGCTCTTCTACACGCAGGCAGAGAAGTGGAATCAATTCCAGCTTTCTAATCCTCCCATTTCTACATGTTGTAGAGACAGGTGACCTCATCAGATGGCCACCAGTGGTGTTCCACTTCATAGAGAGGCTTGAGGAACCTAGTGCCCCACATCACCCCGCTCCAGCTGAGGGCGATCAGATGGAAGTGCGAGTGCGTGCAGTGCGTGCAGCTTCCCCATTCATTGCAATGGCAACATGGGAGCCCTCCTGTGTTGTCCTGATGGCGGCATGCACCGGCTCCACTCTCCTTCACCCACAGAGCCACACTGGCATCATGTGATGAGGAGCCATTCGGCTCAGTAGGTGACCAGGGCTAAATTGATGTATGCTGCTGAATTTAGCCCCATGTGAAGCAGTGGAGAGTCCCAAAAGCAACCACCAGAAGCAGTCATGTGCCATGCTCCA